CACAACCAAACATTTGTTAATCCCATCTTAAGTAATACTCGACCAATCAATTTCCCAAGCTTAGGACCATTTCCTTTTGGTAGGAATGGTTCGCTTGAAAATTCTAATGGTACCGATTATTTCGATGAGGATGATCCATCCCTTTATTATCCACCAGCATATAGTTTTGTATACAAAAACAACTATAGCAACCCTGTACCTCCTGGACCGATTGTTCCAGGAATTGTACTACCACCACCTCCGGAACAGTTTTCGCGATTAGAAAAAGAAGAAAAGATAACTACATCAAGTCCACCTCCATCAACCACATATTTGCCTACTCGACATAGAATTTATTCTACAACATCTGTGCCAACTACTATTTCCACAACAACAGCAATCCCTCACCGGCAAGTTATAACAAAAATATCTGAATACACTCCAAAAACTATTACCATCACACCAATTCCAACGACAGTACCGACACCTATTCAAACGAAAACAGTTGTGAGATTCCCACCATCTCCACCACCAACTCCAATTTCTTCTGTTACACCACCTGTTGAACCAGTTCCAGTTCCAGTTGCTGTGCCAGTGCCAATATACCCATCTAATCATTATCAAACTGAACGACCAAGTATTGTGTCTTTTGTACCTACGACACCTTCATCTACAACAGATACACTATCTAAGTCCAATCCTATATACTACGAATATGTTGAAGCGAAACGTAAACCAACCACATCTAATGTTATTGATGACTTTTTATCTACTACAAATAAGCCTCCTGTTTCTGAAAGACCAGTAAAACTGTATCCAGCTAATAAACGTCCGTCTAAAGGACAAAATCATCGTCATTACTTACCAGCCAATCGTCCATTCATACAAGAAAATATTGTGTATATTACTCCCAAACCAGAAGTACGCTATAAACCGCCAACACATGTTACGCTCTATAAGCCTCGACCATTGGAAAACTTTGAAAATGAAGTCAATGCAATACGCGAGACACTGCGCTACTATCAAAATCAACAATTAAGAGACAATAATATACCACGAACACCGAAGGCAAAAACTGTGTATGAGTACTCATTTGATGCCACCAAAAACCTGCAACCAGTACAACCTATTGCAAATGATGACTTTAAGCCTCCAACAGAATTTGATGATCAACCCTTTCAACCAATGGTTACCTATAGTCCACCAGTCGATGATGAAAATTCATTCCGCGCTGTTGCTTTTGATAAGGTGGATAGTAAAACGCAAGAACAACCGCAACCGAAATATCAAACTTCCACGACTTTAATTCCGGTAGAACCAGAGGCACAATATCAACGTACTTCTCAAGGTAGATCTAAAAAATTACGATTAACTGCAAAATATCTTGAACAACCACTTGTTGCATCATATCAACGGCAGCAACAACAACAAGATCCAAGAATTTCTCAGGAGTTTCAGAGTACACCAAGAACTATATTAACAACACAAGCTCCGTGGGCTTCTATAGATGAATCAAGAATAACTGATTATAGACATCCACAACAACAACGTGAACAATATGAACGTGTACAAATACCATACAAGAATCGATTTCCCGGTTATTATTACGGTCCTCCTCAACCGCCGATACGTCAAAATAATCGATTCTACGATGAACCATTTCAAGGTCCGGTGCGTAAAATTATAAATTATCGTCCACTTCTACCGCCCGCTCAGCAGCATCAACAACAACAATCACCGGTTTGGAGTTTAGAAAACGATACATATGTAAATTATGCACCTAATCGTCCACCACTTAATCCCGAAGCTGAATTTATTGATCCTTATCAAACAATACCATTAAATCCATATCGAAATCAGGGCCCCCGCTTACCATTACCACCACTTTCACATCAATCCCAATATTATGCACCGCCACAGCGGCTATCACCGTCATTACGTCAACAACAACAACCACATTCTCTACATCGTGATATTTTAGTGAACTACAGACAGCCTCTACCACCACTGAATCCAGAAAGTGAATATATTTCACACCCACAAGTGGTACGTAATCAACCACAGCAAGTTTATAGAGAGAATGATTATAGACAACTACCGAATGTTGGTGAACAAGGCAATGTCTATTATATTACACCAAAATATCGACGAGCTTTTAACAGTAATAATAATAACAACAATAATAATAATAATAAAAACAATAATGCTAACACAGGAGGTGAAAATAATGGAAAATAATTGGACCCTCTTTTAAACATTGGTGTCAAATACTTGATATGGCTGTGTGCATGTGATGTCTGTTTGAAAGGAATGAATGAGATATGAAGATTGTGTATTAAAATATAGTTAGATAGTTCAGTATATTATTGATTCTTTTGAAATTCATATTTGATATGTGATTTATTGTAGAGACATAATTATTAATTTATATTTTTATAATGTATAGGTAATATATGATCAAAGAATAAAACTAAATATAATGTCAATGGTATTTCTTTAGAAGTTTTAATGATAGAAATTAGTTTGAACGTTATTGTTAAAATATTCCACTTCATATAACTTTTTATGAAGAATTGAAACATGAAATCATTCTTAGTTTCTTTTTATAAACAAATTTTCTTTGACTTTTACCTTTTATGCATATCTATCTTTAGATCTTTATCTTTATTTATCTTTATTGTCTTTATTATCTTTATCTTTTATTTATCTTTATTTTGGATTAATATTCTAATGAAGTGTATAAAAGTCTATTTGTCATTATTGAACATTAAATAATAATACACATATTGTGCTATCACAAGATATTCAAAAATACTTTTTTTTAAATTAGAAGTGTTAGTAACTAGACCTTAATTTCTTTTCTATCAAAGTTGAGACAATATAATCTGCGAGGACACGTTTGTTAACATAAGCAAAAAGGACTAGAAATCATATTAAGAATATATGCAAACGCTTACTTAATCTTTAAAGTCTTGGAATAATGTCAGATACTTGGAGTTTATAATCATATGATTTTATGTCATATATCATAGATGAAGAATTTAAGCATTTTGTGCTTCCTTATCTTTTTATTTCTCAGATCCGGCAAAAGGATAACACTTGATTCGAACTAATATGTTTAATAAATTAAATTTAATTTAAAGAATTAACAAATTAATATTATTTTTATGCTATATTAGAAATGATTTTTAATCATTGCCCTTAAAATTTCATAGTGTAGCTTTAACTATTATAAATAAAACGCTAGTGTAGTTTACGACAAAAATTTGCTCGAATATTGATAGATTTTATAATATATATATAGGATATGTATAACGTTTTTACAATATAAGATCTTGTCAAAAATTAATATTTGCATAATAAAATTTATTAAAGAAAAATTGTAAATAAATATTGAAAATAATAAAATGTTTAACAAACTATAAAAATGTAAGCCATAAATAATAAGTTCACTAATAAAATATATCAAAATTTTTGATAAAAATAAATAAGCAAAACATCCTTCTCCGATTAAAAAATGATTTAAGGAAATTATTTAAAAGAAATTTAATTTTATTTTAATTGTTGTGCATGTATGGAAAATGTATCAAATGAAATAAATTATTAAAAAGAAAATTTTGTTTTAATTTTCATGTGCGTTATATAAGAATACTTTTAATTTAATATCCAGACATATATTAGGTGTGTCAATGGTCTTAATATGAGAGGGTAAAAGTATTCAATCAATAAATCGATTGAAATTACTTTTAAAAATACTCCCATTTAAAAATTGACCTCACTTACCTGTGCAAGGATAAATGATAAAAATATACACAACATTTGTGTAGAACGATTACCTGCAGAGGGTATTTTTAAATTTACTTTTAAAATAAATTACTATGACATAAATATTTTATTGATGATTGTACTTATTTTTCCCTAGTATAGGTTTAAACGAATATAGATAAATTTAACGTATCTGGCAGTTCAGATATAATATCAACACAAATATTTTTTAGTATTTATGGCAGTTGTATTTTACTTTGCATTATACATTAAGACCGAAAAGTTTTCGGAAATTCTCATTTAAAATTCGCGCGCTGTATATTTTTCGATATTTTAAGTTTATGTAGTTTGGCAGCACTGTCCTTAATTACTATGCCAAAAATGAGCGCGATCTGTCAGACAGTTCGTTTACGGCAGCTGTTGAAACCAGTTCACCTCAGTAGTGCGTTGCGAAAAAAACAATGGAAAAAAATATTGAACAAAGAGTTTGCATCAAATTTTGTGTTTCGAACGAAATTTCGTGTGCAGAATCGTTGCGAATGCTACAAAAGGCTTATGGGGAATCAGTTTTATCGAAAACTCAAGTTTATGAGTGGTACAAAGCCTTTCAGGACGGTCGTACGACCGTCGAAGACATTTCGCAACGCACTACTGAGGTGAACTGGTTTCAACAGCTGCCGTAAACGAACTGTCTGACAGATCGCGCTCATTTTTGGCATAGAAATTAAGGACAGTGCTGCCAAACTACATAAACTTAAAATATCGAAAAATATACAGCGCGCGAATTTTAAATGAGAATTTCCGAAAACTTTTCAGTCTTAATGTATATCTCATATATCTCTCACATCTAAAAGTCTAATATATACAGGGAATCTATTTATGATCAGACAAGTACTCACACCAAAGCAGTAGTTGCATCACAAAAACTAAAAACTGTCTCCACCGACATCTTCACTGAAAAGAAATATGAATACTCGCAACCTAATATAGGACTGCAACATCCAAATATGCAATTTGAAAGCTATATCTTAACTACTAAAAATATAATAATATTATTAGAAGTATGTGTTTTATTTGTAAATATTGTTATACTAAGAATAAGTAAATAATTTTGCTAGAACTTTCATAAAGCTATTAACATACTTTAGAAAACTATGATAAAAACTAATGTAAGGCGGAACAATAGGATTGCAATAGGATTCGTTTTCAATATGAACCTTTTCAACAAAATTTTGAAGTTACAACAGCTACATTTACATACTAAATTAATAGGTCTATATTACATATATAAAATATGTGTACATTCAACCTAGAACAAATTTTAGTGGCTTAATACAACCGACTTTTGCGTTTTGTACCATTTAAAGTATTTGTCTATATAAAAATGCACGGTATTAATATAAGTGCTTTTTAACAAAAGATTAGCATTATATATAAACATAATTTTCTTACTTTTTAGTTGGACTATAGTTACAGAATATAAATCCAAAACATTTCATGTTATTAAGTTGTTAGCAGAATAATTATATATACTAGATTTACTGAAGAAGTTAATATCTATTTTCTTTTCAAAGATTTGATGAAACTTAGAAAAAGTCAACTTTCATGTTATAAAGACAATGAAAATATCTATTCCATTTAAACTATGATTTGCAGAGAGTGTTTTCATATAACAAACACATTTTATTAAAGACTAAACCTTAAACTTGATTTATTTAGGTAAGCTAGATACGTATTATATATTAGCAAATTTACTTTTCTTAAACAAATAGCGGCCTACCATACCCTACTCTTCACAGTCGATATATGTCAATACTCATTTTCTTTATTAGATTATCTAGCAATTCATGATCCAAAAGCCCACAAGATATTGATAGAGAGTATCTAGAATATTCCATTTTTATTGATACAATCATATCTCCTACAAATTTAATCCGTTAGGTCTGACAATGTGTTCACTAATTTAAATTTCCTATTACCTTTCTTAAGGATGAAGCTAAACCAATAATATAACTACAATTACTTTAAGTCTAAATAAATTGAACAACAATCTTTACATTACGAAGTTTTTTATATACACCATCCTTTAACTTTATATTAGACCTTACTTCTGAAACATCTTTAAAGCATCTGAAATGTTTAATATTTTTAGGGCTGATTTTGGTAACATTCTAAAGATGTTTTTTAATCCCTTTTTTAATACTTTGCTCTGATTAGAGAATATGGGATAATTTTTTCAATCGAGATGCTTCAAAAGCATATTTGTATTATATAATGTATAAAACTCAAGATTTTTTTATAACACTCTAGATATTTTGCCAGAGTAGCAAGATTATCCTGAAAACATATGTATTTATGAAAAATAAAAATGTCTACTAACACGACTAAAAAAAGGTTAGATTACTCCAAAAATGTTCGATTGGGCAACAAAATTTAAGAGTAAATCTAGATTGAATCCAGAGTTACCAAATAAAAACGCATGTTCATATCTTGATAGAGTTTATTCGTACTATTTCTAGTAGATTAAGTCTTTTGAGAGTGAGAAACACGATTTTAATGGTATTTAACCTGATTTTTTTCCAAGCATAAAAATTATATAAACATTTTTAAATGTTCAAAAAGTTGTATATAGAAAATACACACATCTATTGCCAACTTTAATAATACGTTATTTTAAATCTTTTTTATATCTAAATAAGGAGATTTAGCGATTTTTTTTTATTTCTATTTTCATTTTTTAGAATTCTAAAATAACTATTTTAAATAATTCTTATTTAATAAAATAAAATTTAACGTTAGTTATGATGGTTGTATATTGACTATTAATAGAAAATACTATTTGATAGAAACTATTGTATTTTATTACAGAGGTTTCGAAAAGTAATGAACTACAACAACAAAAATTATTTTTATTATTATAGAAATAATTTAATTTTTGACTGTACATACACAGCTGCTTTGAGTATTGCCAAATACCTACTTTTAGTGGTCTTAGAATTATTTTTTATATTCAATTATTCTTATTTAATTATTGTAGTTTACTACTTTTCGAAAACTCCCTACTAATTTTTTAGTGAACTATAAATTTAAGTATGAAGGAATAAAAAAACCGAAGCATATACTAATTTTATACTTATTTTTTTACAAATATTTTTAGTTTCATTATTATAAAAATTTATTACAAAAATCTCTCCAGTTACTAATATTTTAGAAGGATTAAATTTAAGGACCGCAATGTGAAGCTTATTTCGAATTATCATATCAAACTGTTAAACGTTCATAAAATAAATTTTCAAAAACCACCCTGTATGATTAAGACTTGTACATTATTAATGGGTTTCTTTGTTTTGTTTTCCTTTTTTATTAGGTGTTGCTATTTTTAAATAAGTGACTACTTGTTTTTAACAATTATAATTTAATATTTAAGCAGGTGAGTGTTTTGCTGTTGGCAATACTTAAATGACAAGCTCACACTTGTTCACTCTCACACTGCCTCTTCGCTCTCACACTTCCTGTCAATTCACCTACTAAATGTACAAGGATAACAAGAATTGCAAGCACATGTTGACATAAACACACACCAGCACACACAGCGAGCCGTACACTTCCTCTCTCTCTCGTTCTCTCTCCAGAAAGGTTATTCAAATATTACAATTTGTCGTAGGCCCAAAGAGGGCGCCTGCGTGCTTATGAGTTCCTGCTTTTTTTGCTATTGTATTTACAGCTCGTCCTTTTTTCAAGAAGTCAGTGTAACAGAACCGTTTCGCACGCACAAGAGCGAAACAACAAAAATCGATTCATATCAGCACTGCTCGCTAAGCGTGATAGGAAAGAATAAAAAATAATAATACACTTAAAAGGACTATTTTCTTCATTAAGTCAAAGGAAGACGTTAACGACGATAAACGACAGAATTGCACGAACCTCACGAAAGTAAAAAACATTTTCGAGTGGAAAAGTGATGATTTCAATTGGTTTGCTTTGAATAATAAAATGTTTATGTTAAATAAATAAATAAAGAAGTTCTTAAGATAATAATACACAAAATAATTATTCAATAAAATAAGTTCAGAGAGTTTAATTTCAAAATTATAGAATGACAAGTCAAATACGAAGGTAGTGTAGCGTAAAAATTCTCAAAGGTGTGTTACCTAAAAAAAGAAATAATTTGTATAAAAATATTAAACCTCTTTAAAATGACTCAAACGTGTTGTGCTTTTCATGACTCTAACAGAGCTTTGTTAGCGTTCATGAGGTCTTCAAAGTAATCTAAAAATACATTTCAAATTGCCAAATTTAAATCAATACATTTAATAATCAATCAATCAATCAATGGAAAAATGGTAACGATGACTTCAGAAGTGGACAAAACTCAAACTTCTAAGGCTACCATGGCTAGTAAACCGAACGCATCCACTACTTTCACATCTACTGTCACTATTGAACATACTAACGGCAATGCTATTACGGATGACGTTAACACAACAATAACAAATGCTACTGTAAATCAAAGTGCAATAACAACAACAATAACTACGACTAATACCTTAACAACAACAGTAACTGAAACTGAAACCGCAACAACAATTACTAATAATGGCACAATCGGTACAAATGCAAACAACACGACAACTAACAGTGCCTGCACGTCCAACACAAATAGCACCGGCAGCGTAAGTGTTACTGTTCCAACGGGTACATTAGGAACTGCAAGCTCTGCTACGGCATCGGGGAGTAGAGCGGGTGGAGTGAGCGGTGTTAGTGGTATTTATAGCATCGAAAGTGATAGCCAAACATTAAAAGCACCGAGCCACAGTGCGGGAGGTTCAAAAGCATTACATTCAAATGCGAAGACGACACCATCAACGGTTCCACCGCCTCCCAATCAATATAAGAAAAGTGAAGACTCACCAAATGTGTTAGTGTACAAGAAGGTAATCAAATCAACAGTTATATTAACGCATGTTTGTTTTATATACTCATACCCTACGTTCTTACATGTACGTTCTTACATCACCCCGTGCCAACGTACTACAACAGATGGAATCTATTATTGAGAAAATGCAAGCAGAATCAACTGGTGTAACTGTGCGCACTGTGAAAGCGTTTATGAGTAAAGTTCCTTCGGTCTTTACAGGGGCTGATTTAATTGCTTGGATTTTGAAGAACTTCGACGTGGATGATGTGACGGAAGCATTACATTTTGCACATTTACTTGCATCGCATGGTTACATATTTCCTATCGATGATCATCAACTAACTGTCAAAAACGATGGTACCTTCTATAGGTAAGTATACAATGTAGGCTATAACGTCAGGATCTGAGTCACAATCGCGTGTGTCACTGTCTTTTTCTTTGAAATTTATTGCCGCAATATAATCATTGCGGGTGGTCACACTAATTAATAAGTGCAGTCATCCTGCGGTTCTTTTATTGCCTTTTTGCTGTGAGACATAATTGTAGTTCATCGAATAGAAATTATTTTCTTGCATTATGTAAATAATTAATTGTCCTTTCAAATTTTTGTTTTTACTATTTAATATTTTTTTATGGGCGCTATTATTATTTAAAGTGGATAAAAGAAACCATTAAATGATTAACAAAACTGAATTAAACGAAGGCGTAAATATCGAAGTTGTTAACTAGGTATTAGGGTTTAAATTTGTTACAGTTTAAAAATATTGGGAATATTATTCCTTTAAAAGAACTTTAAAGGAATGCTGATCCTTTTGAATAAGGTTCCTTTATTAGAGAAACTGGAAAATATACAGGCATATTAATGAATAAAAAATAATATGTAAAATAAAAGTGTTGCCATTTATTTTCGTACTATATGGTACATCGAAAGTTTTAGAAATAAGTTTATTTTTAATATTAATTAAATTAATAATTTTGCCTTTGCCTTTGATAATTGTATAATGACTATATAAATTGAAAAATGTTCTATATTTGGATCTATCATAATTCTAATAATGAGCACTAGCACATTTGCATAGATTCATAAATGCTCTTAATTTTGTACATAGAGAAAAAAAATTAACAACAAAAAACTTTTTTTAAGACGCTTATGTAGTCAAACAGCAATTCAAGACATTGCTCGGATATTTGAATGTTCCTTAAGTCTTCTAGTAAACTATATTACTCGTTTTAGCTTAAGTAAACCTAAATCGTTTTGTTATTTTTTTAAATACCAAATAATAAGCCGGTTACGATGTATTAAAAATCGTAGCCAGTGCGTTCCCTAAAAAGCATAACGGAGGTTTCTGGTTCTCTGACAGGACTCTTCAGTATGCAGTACCATTTTTACAAAATAATAGTCCAAATTCAAAATAATGACCAGGAGAGAATATTACGACTGATGTTCTTTTTCCTTTCTAAAGTTTGGAATGCTTTCATGAACAATATTCACTTATCCAAAAAATCTTTATAAATAGAAGTGATCTATTACAAAGCTTTTATATCAAATAAGAGTACTCGTATATAACACCAAGAGTATATAAAATTTGTCAAATTGTTTGAATTTATTTATTAAAGGATGTGACTTTCACATATATCACATGTAATTTTAATCGATCTTACAAGAACTAATCAAATAAATGATCTCCATCTATTGGTATACCTGTTTATTATTTGTTTATTTTTGAGTTACTTGTTAAATTTTTTATTTTTGAGTTACTTGTATAAAGGCTTACAAAGAAAATTTTAATGAATCCATATTGATCAAGTCAACGATTGAATTAATTTTTCATTAACCAAAAATATGTCCACACTCTTATTGTACGAGGTTGATGACTCTACTTACTAAACTATATGGTTATTCACCCTGATTGTTCTAAGATGTTCTTTTATTCTACTTCCAAGGGAGTTTGAGGAGTGTACATGTTATAAATATTTTTTTCGTCCTGCTATTTATATTACATATTACATTATCGGTTTATAGTTTATATGAATATATCTAATATAAAACTAAGATTTTATAACTAAATCTTAAGAGCTAAAAATTTAAAATATATAATTTAAAATTCCGAAAGCTTTAGTATGGCGTTTACTTCGAAGATAAACTTGAACTATAATAATTATAAAAAATTTGGTCATTTAATGTTTTAACATAATTCTGTTTAGTTGTTTTTGAAGAAAATTATTATAAATATATAAACTATTTTTAAAATTTAAAACTATTAAACTGTGTTGTTATAAAAATTATTACTACTAGCTTAGTTAAAACAAATAAATAATTTTTTTTGATTCAGCTAAATTAAATAAATGTATATAATTTATTTATATAGCATGTACTTAAAAAACAATTAAAAATATAAGAAAATAAAACAAATTATTCAAATCTAATTAATAGAAATAAAATATATCCATAATTTTAGCAATTTATACCACTGTGAGTTCATATGTAAAAAATTTTTTGCATACTTTTAGGCTGGGAATTTAGTTGGTACAATAATCACAGTAGATCAAGATAGACATGGGTACAAAAAATTTATCATTTCGATATATTTCAAGAAGTAAAAAATCTATAATAAAATTAATTTGTGACTTTCAAATAGTTTATCAATATACCATATAACTTTCGATAGAATAATGCACAATATTTTTTAACTCTTATTTTAAAAAATTGTTCTTAAAAAATTTCAAAATTGTTTTATATATATTTTAATAATATGTATTTAGGAGAAAATTAAATATAACCCGAATTAATGTAAAATTTAATCAAAATAGGCTATCAAAATAGGTTATCCACTTAAAGTCAAATGTAATGCGAGAAGCAGCTATCAGATATGAACTTAAATATCAGTACTTCAGAATGATTCTGATTTAACGAAAACAGATTTGACAACAGATTTCGGTAATCAGCTTCTCTCTTAGCAACTTTCTTGAGATTTAGAATTGTACACGGATTACATGGATTAAGCAAGTAAAAAACGACATCTAGCGTCAAGCATATATATAATTTTTACATTAATTATATAAACGATAAGTAACAAGAAAAAGCGCGGTATCTGGTATTTTATGTCCAAATATTTTCAACTTAAAAGTCTATTCACTATATATGATTAGTGAGATATAAGTATCTATATATACAAATCTTTAAGAATATAACTCTTTTATTAGCACCAGGAGATATCGTAGGGCTTAATGTTCTTTAATTTATATTTCCAAATAAAAACATTATATGTAACAGATAATATTTAACAGATTATAAGATATTTAACTGATATGACGTCTTTAATTTCTTCAGAGGACATACAGAAATTTATAATTTCTGAAATCCGTAGACCAGTCTCATAGATATATGCAAGTTATTTCAACAGATTTTAATTTAAATCAATAGAATCCTAATATAACGGAACCTTTTTAAAAACTTAACTGAAATGTAAGAAAAAATATATTTTTTACTAAAAATTGAAAACAAATTATTTCGAAGAATATAAAAGTGAAAGCTTGTCACGTGTATAACTGTCACATGCTCAAGTCGCGGCATTTAAACTGAATAAAGTAATATAAACAAAAGTGGAATTTTACTGAGGTTTTATTCTATAAACAAATTTTAAGTAATTAGTTTGAAAGTAATAAGTTTACTCATGAAATTTGTTGGAATAATTGTTATATCGGTTAAAATAGTGTATTGTATAAAAGAAACAGAATATTTAACTAGAATATAGGTTATTTTCAAAATTTTGAAGTTATATTTTTTATCTGTTAACATATATTGTATATATTTTTGCTATTTTTTATATGTGTTTCTACAGTGATTCCAATTAATTGTGTAAAATGGTTCTACACAGAGACCTTATCCGCTGTAGAACTACAACTCGTTATCACTTTAACTCTTTACAACTTTTTAAAAACCTTAACATTTATGAATGAAATGAGCGACTGTGGCCAATGATCTATTCTGATCGCAGTGCATTAGATCTCTGTTAATAATAATAATATATACGTTTTGATCAATTTTAATAAATGATTCATATATAGAACAAAAAAAAATTTATAATAAACAAATTCTTAGACATGCTAAATTTTCTGGGAACAGTCCCATTAAATACTAAAAGGATAAAAATAAATGGTTGATTTAGATTTCAGACACCGTATTTTTGGCCATCGAATTGTTGGGAGCCTGAAAACACAGACTATGCGGTTTATTTATGTAAACGCACTATGCAAAATAAGACTCGTTTGGAGCTTGCAGATTATGAGGCTGAAAATTTAGCAAAATTACAGAAAATGTTTTCAAGAAAATGGGAATTTATATTTATGCAGGTATACAGCATAACTATTAATTTTTGTAATTTTAAAATATCTAACTTCAAATAAAATATTATTTGTTTTAGGCTGAATCCCAAAGCAAAGTTGCAAAAAAACGTGATAAATTAGAAAGAAAAGTACTGGACTCACAAGAACGTGCTTTTTGGGATGTACATCGTCCGATGCCAGGCTGCGTGAATACCACCGAAATTGATATAAAAAAGGCTTATAGACGCGGTGCATCTAGTCATGGTACTGGTTCAGCGGGTGCTTCAGTAGCAAAGAATCCCGTGGAACAACTGACGCGCATTATAGCATTAAGGAAACAAAAGCTTGAAAGACGCACCATTAAAGTTTCAAAGGCAGCTGAAGCGTAAGTATTTTAACAAAGTATAGAATAGATTTACTAAGGAGAGGAAATGTTAATAAATAAAATATTACAGTTTGGTGGCATATTATGAGCAATATAATGAATTTGATTACTTTATTACTTCTACTGAATTGCCAAATCCATGGCAAACTGATAGCACAGAAATGTGGGATACAGAAAAAAATACGTAAGTCTGAAATGCAATGGAAGTAAATAATCAGATAATAAAATAAGTAAATTTTATTTTATTTTTTATATGTACATTGCTATTCTATTAAACAGCAAAGAAGTGCCATTAAGACGTGTGAAACGTTGGGGTTTTAGCTTACGAGAATTACTTAATGATCCTATTGGTCGCGAACAATTTACCAAATTCTTGGAGAAAGAATATAGCGGTGAAAATTTAAAGTAAGTTTCGACTATATTCTTATATTTATCGATTTATATACCTTTTCAAGTATAATAATTTTGTTTTTTAATAATAATTTTGTTATTTAACGGGCTAATTGGTCAGTAGTTAAATAATACAATTTTTAAAAATTATTTTTGTTTTTTAAAAAACTCCATTTAAACCGATATTTCGATTATATTCTATAGTCATCAAAAAAAAAAATAATATAAAATTATGCAATACTTGTCAATAAATATAAAATACATATATAGGAAAATGATATATTTATCCTCTTCTGGTTTTGTTGAAGGTGCTTTTATACACCTTAAAACTTTTCAAAGCGTCATTAATTCTATTCTTTTGTACTTCGCCAAAAGGTCGTCCACATATTTTGCTAAAAGCCTTGATTTTATCAAATTTTTTCCATGCATTAGTCAAGTAGTTCCTCCATTACAATATCTGCAATGATTGGTGACGCTTTAGATCCCATTAGCATTCCTTTTCGTTGCTTATATATATTGTTATTTAACATAAAGTAGTTAGTTATTGTCTGTTAGACAAAAATTTAGGATTTTTTAAGTATTTAAGTATAATTATGTTAATTTTTTCAGTTAATTAATTATTATGAACTATTCGACGCAACACTAAATGAATTAATGAAACAGAGCATTTATCTGATTTTATTTTTTTTTTGTGAAATATTACGATATGTTTATTTACTATTATTATTAGTAGTGGTAGTTGCAGTAATTTTTAATTTTTTTTTCATATTTAAATTTATTGCATTATGAAGTAATTTGTAATTATAAAGTAATTTGTAATTATAAAGTAAAGTAATTATAAAGTAATTTTGCAGTACGACCAAATGAAAAAAATGTGTAAAATCAATAAAAGCAGGATCTTTATTATTATTATATTGTATATTATGTTATCATCTATTACATATAAAATTATTATTATCGTAAACATGGAAGAATTATTGAATCAAGTCCCGATTTATATGTGTTACCATGGAGCAATAGAGCTCCGGGTGTAGTTTTATAACGAAAAAATATTTTTGTCATACATATAAACAGGGTCTTAATGAATACTTTATAAGTTATTTGTCACATATATAAAGAGTGCCTTCATAAATACGTTATATGTTATTTGAAAATCTTAAAATAATTATAGATTTATAGACTACAAAATTCGAAATTAAATCTTTGCACTATTTATAAAACTAATATTATTTCTGTATCGGTTCTTGGAATCTGTACAAGAAAACAAAGCAATCATTAATTAATTATTAGTTTAATAAAAATTAAACTAATAATTAAATAGTTTCGTTTAATTAATTAGTGTAATTAAAATTAATATTAAATTAATTAATAAAATTTTAAAACTAGTAATTAAATCTTGTATTTACATAATTTATTCAATATATATAATTTCTCTTTAGATTCTGGGAATCTGTGCAAGAAATGAAAGCCCTGCCACAGTCTGAAATTAAGGAAGCGATTCAAAATATTTGGCAAGAATATTTGGCGCCAGAAGCACCATGTCCAGTAAATGTAGACTCAAAATCTGTTGAGTTGGCAAGAGAAGCTGTGAATCAAATTTCACCAAATGGACCAAACCGTTGGTGTTTTGATGTGGCTGCTTCTCATGTGTACCATTTAATGAAAAGTGATTCTTATTCTCGTTACTTACGTTCCGAAATGTACAAAGACTATTTGAATTGTTCACGTAAGAAGATCAAATCGATTCCTAATCTATTTGGAGTGAAACGTTGAGATACGGCTAATGAGGAGGATATGAAGAAAGGGAAACAAATCCTTTTAGGATAGCAGTAAACTGTGAAACGCAAAGCAACAAATTAATCACTAGAATTGTTAAACAAATACTCGTATGGTAATATTAACGCATGTGCTTTTTTATTGTTTGTAATTTAAAGGGAATGCAAATTTTTATAGTGTACAATATAATACTTAGAAATCATATGTAAGTAATTGATATTTTTTTGAAATATATAAGCTTAGGTTTTTAAAACAGATGGCATAGAAATAATTTTATAGTATAATGTTTTAATTTGTAGGCTAAAAATAGGTGAAACAAAAATACAGAATATTATTTGTATATGTTCTCTCCAATGTAAAAATATATAGTTAATATGTAGAACTTAAAAAAAATTTACTGTAATTGAAATGTTATATTTAAATGTTATTTAATGTAATGAAACTAAACAATAAAACTGCCAATCTGCTTATTTAAATTCAAAGCGTCCAATATCTAAAAAAGTGAAGAAACTATTTATTGAAGTTGTCACAAGAGCGAACTGTTTTGTGTGCACTTAAACTTATTTAATATACTAGAGAGCAAATTTAAGCCGAATAATAAGCTATTGTATTTTATTTGATTTTATTCTTTGCTACAACACAACCCTAAGAACATCAAATGGTATAATTTACTACAATTTATAAAAATAATTTTTAAAATAATTATAAAAATGAAACTTAATTAGTAATTATTAAAACGGTTATACCAACGAGTCTACATTAAAAATTAGTTTATTATGTATTTTATATACTAAATCAAAGAGTACGTACACGACTTGCAATAATAGTATTTATCCCTGGAGGCATGCAAAACAAAATAACTCTCACCATTTGCCGGCATATATAATCTTTATTACACACCTGTTGCTTCAAATGAACTAGTTCGCACACTGGTATCATAAACTAGTTACTGGAGCAATTTAAATGCAGCGACTTAATTGGGTATTCGTGACCTAATGCTGCCAACTAATTCTCATATTGGTAATGTGAAGTAATTATTAAAAAGACATTGATCATCTATATTGATAAATATATATTTTATATAAATTATATATTGACACAGATGACAAGTTATGATTTGACAGTACATGTTTTGCTTAGGCATATATAAAAGGAGAAAAAGCGACCAACCTAAAACCTTAAACAACCTAAGAGAATTAATTATGATTTTTTTATGAACATGAAACTTGTAACAATAGTCTCTGTATACAAATATAACCTGATATTAATTTAATTCTGATATAGTAAGTTATTTATTCATCAGAAAATTACAAAACAATATATAAAATATTGCAATAAAATATAATTAAATTCGAGTATCTTTGCTGAATATCTGAAAAATTCTTCAAAATTTATTTTTGTGTACTAAAAAACATTAATTTTAATCAACATAAGTTCATTAAAAAATTATAATTTATTTTTAAATAAAATTTATTCATAATTTTTTATCTGGTCAAAAAAGCGTAAGAATTAAACTCATCGCAAAAACTTTATTAATTATAACTACCAAACTGGTACTTAACGAATAACTAACAAATTTATAATAAAATGTTTATAGACCACCTATTTTTAACTACGCTTCTCATAAAGGAATATTTTATACTATAAATTTTTCCTAATGTGCACCACCTCTTTGTATGCATAATATCAATAATATATTATGTTCCTTAAATAATCTATTTATAACGGGTATTATTCACTAAATATTCATAATAATGTTATTATATTTATCATACATTAAAAAAGTAAATATTTATTTTTTATATATATTATATACATATTTTTATTTGATATAAATATTACAATATAATATTTTATAATAAATATCATCACACTATAATAATATATATATATATATATATAAATAGTTATATATATATATATTATTCTCTCTTTAAAAATAAAGATTTATTAAATGATAGCAATATTTATTTCTGGTTTATAAAAAACATAAAATTAAATTTAAGTAATATAAAATAAAAATAATTATTTTCATTTAAAATAATTTATATATAATTTTTTATAATTTAATAATTAATTTATATGCATTTTATTAGTACTGTACTTTATGTATATTATACACACATTAAGGAATTGATATGAATTAAGGGAAATGGGATTGAAAGAAGTTTATCCATAAAATTCATAAAACTTAGTATGTTTTTGACTATGATTTTTAAAGCAGGTACGTCTATTCATAAAATATTTAACTAATAGCAGCAAACGTAAAAAAGTATAAATAGGAAAAAATATAGAAAGTGATAGCGACGATCAAAACATATATATTGGTACAATAGATATAGAATACACTCGAGAATAGATATACGAAAAAAATTAGAGAAATATATATAGAGAGATATTAAAATGGCTAAGAGAAACGTAAATATAAAAGCAGTAAAATAAATAAGATGTAATGAGAGAATATCTATTAAAAATATATAAAGAAATCTGGAGGACTAAAAGTTAAACAGAATAGAACAAAAAAGAAAAATAGATGGCTAAGAAAGAGATCGAATAATACAAAACAGAGAGATGAATTTAAAGGACTAGAATTCAAATAAAAGGGAAAAAAAGGAAAGGCTATTAAAAAAAATAGTACGAAAATTAATATGAAAACAAAACAATTAGTAAAATGAAAAAATAAAGTAAGATAGACCATAAAAAGGAATGAATTTTAGAATGGGTATTTAAAAAAACAGAACCTTTTAAATAAAAATAAAGTGAAAATATTGAAAACATGTATGTGTAATGAAAAAATATATAAATACAAATGGAAATAGAGAAAATATAGAAATGTAAAAATGTAGCACAACTAATTAAGAATGTGAATAATCAGAAATGTATAAGAGAATCAAAAATTAAGAATATAAACTTTTAGAAAATGCAGAGATGCAAAAACAGATTAAATATAGAATGACGATAACAGATAAATATAGCGTTATAAAAATAAGTAAATAAGAAAAGAATTATGAAATAAGTCAAGACAAATTTGAAATAAAACCAGACTGAAGATAATTCTTCATCCATTTTTTATCTAAATGATTTTAAGAACTCGATTTAAATTTGCTCTATAGTGTATAAATAATATTATGTATATAAAAATCGGCGGCAGAAAATGGCAAAAAACTTATGTAAAATTGTTATATATATAACTAATGAAAATGTTTGTATTCTGTAACTACTTTTAATGTAATTCAAAAAAATATTTTTATAAAGATATTTTGCTATTGACTGCTTACCGAATAATTTAGATACCTGAAATTGAAAAATACAGGGCATAATGTTTCCTGACTTATATATTTTGAATAGACTAATTTTGAATATATTTATTTGTTTTAATTTCACTATTAAAGAAAACTTTTTGTTTATAAATAAATTAATTATTTCAAAATTTTATACTTTAATTTTTTTATAAATTTATTACAAGTTATTTCAAAGTAAAAGCGGGGAATGAAGAGTCTATAACCAGACTGAAACTCAAAATCATTTATTACTTATGTTATTATTATAATCAAATTGTTAATGAAGTCATACGAATGTGAACTTATATGGTACAATATCTATTAGAAAACTCATTTATTAGCAAGGTTGATAGTTGTAATTCATAATACCTATACCATTATGAGTAAGATTGGAAAAGTTAGTTTGCTTCCCAATTAATTTAGTAGAAATGTATTTCAAAACCATAAATTTGTTTAATACATATTTTATTATTATACATTTAAAATTGTTATTTTTTTCAGTTTAATCATTGTTTAAACACCATCTACAGATTTTCTAATCAAAAACAGGAAAGCACTTCAGTTCTTCTTACAAAGAAGATCACTTTTTTAAACTTAAATGAAGATCACTAACTTAATTTTAGAATTTATTCTGATAAATTGCTATTTTTATACAGTTATCTCTAAAAAAACATATGACGATTTTTTTTAAATATTTATCTGCACTTTTTAATAGGCTTACTTCTATTTACGGTTTTTTATAAAAAACAAAGCTAGGAAGCAACTGCTTATTTAAGATTCATAAGGTTTTGCATTCATTAAAAATATTTTTTACGCATTGCAGGCACGTTTTTTTGCAAAAAAGTAACCTCGTTTGACTTTTGTTTTAATAAAATGAAAATTGTTATATTACAATTATTTGCTGTGACATTATAATTGTTTAATATAATATTTAAAGTGTTTTTCATTTAAAACTTGTAAAATATATTATTAATATTCAGTTCTCGTATTGTCCACACTTTGATATATAATTTTTTTCTTGTGAATTACTGAATTACTAACTTAAGGAATACCGATTTACCATGGCATCAGATTAGATAATGGCCTAGTTCATTGACTCCTTATTAGTAAAGTGATAAAATGGTAAACGTCAGAACGTCTTGTTTTAATTCCTTCTCAGTAAACTTGTAAAATTAAACTGCCAAAGCAAGAGATTTTGTTTCTCTCGTACATAAAAGCAAGACAAAGGCAAAAAAAATATGAAGAAATTTAGAAATTAAAGTATAACTTTGTCTATTTACTTTTTTTCGAACACAATTAAATATTCAGCTGATATTTTAGCGAATATCTAAAAAATGATCAGAATAAACGTCTCGATAATTCAGTAATTTGTCTAAAAGAAAAGGTATGTAAAACTTTATAACTAAATATGTATATATGTATATGTATATATTTGGTTATTGGGTAAAATCTATTTTACATAGATTTTCACTGCAAACAAACATACATAATGCGCTGATTTATTTTTATAACTTTTCTTAGAGAAAATTAGAGAAGTGCGTTCAGACCTACATGGTTTATAATTTCACCCCTTTTATTATGTAGAGAAAATAATACGATTATTTTTTTAAAGAAAATAATATGTGCCGATTTATTATATTTAACAATTTGTTAGAAAATAGAACTTTAAAATTTACAACTTTTTTTTAAATAAATTTATTTAGTAATATTCAGCAGTTTAATAAATAATATTTTTTTTCTTACTAAACAAAAATTGATTACTTTTGCATCACTCCAATTTCTTTATGAAATATATATATATAAAATATCACATAAAACTGTATTTTACTTTTACAGTAAATCTTTTATTACTATATAAAAGTATATAGTATACACATATACTTTTATATATACTATATTTAATTTTTCC